AAAAAAAAAAAAAAAAAAAAAAACAGGCGCCGCAACTTCCACTTAATGAACTGCAGCTTTTATCCTTCAGCCAACGGCGCAGAAACTGAAGGCACAGGATGGTGCTCAAGGTCGGGGGCTTGATCTGAGATGGCTGCAGAAAGCTGGAGAAAGTCCAGAAACGGACCAAAGTTCTTACGGAGAAATGCAGTATGTTTGTTAGTCTTAAAAATAACACCCATCAGCCCGAATCTTTCACACTAAGCTGGACTTGATCCTCTTGTTTGAACAAATGCTGCAGGAAACAATTTAACACGGCTGTCATGCAACTATGGCAAAAATCCTATTCAGAGTGGCAGTGTTTACAAACCACATGCCTACCGGTCTCCAGCACCACAACAGAATGTGTTCTGACACAGACCCACAATATGACACGGACATGAAGTCGGCGACGTCAATTCAAATTAATTTTAAACGTCTTGTCTTTGCTGTGAAAACTATGAAAACTCCTGTATAAGTCTGTTTGCCCCCCTTGGCTTGTGTGTGCACCCTTTATGGAAAGAATGTCCTTCCTGACGACAGTCAAACTATCTTCCGCCAAAGGGAGATTTATTGGGCTGTGTATTTTATGGGAATGTATTAAAAGCAGAACATGGATTTTATTTTTCTCTCTTTTAATTGAAACAAGTTGTCTCACACATGTCATGTCAATCTCGTGTACAAAAGAAGTTAGAAACAGGACCAGATGAGCGCTGCCTGGACGTTTAGCGCTTTGTGGCGCAGAGGAGGTGAGCAAGCTGGTCACCGGCATCACATCTGACTGGCTTTCTCCACAATCTTGGCAGCGTCTTTCAACTTTCCCACCAAATCCTGAAAACAAGCAACCACTGATCATTTAGCCTAGAGTAAAAACAAAAACACTGCAACATATCCGGCGGAGATAATAACTGAACAAAGATGCACACGGTCTAAATAGGAATCTGACAAAATTAGACTGAGTTGGGCGTCTTTGATTTGGCTTGTGAACTGAATTCACAAAATATTTTGCATGAATGTGACCAAATACTCCACCTATACATCATTGCCACGTCAAAACAAGGCATGAACACAACGTCCACGCAACATTTCTTTAGGTCAATACAGTATCATGTTCAGTTTATTTTACATCAAAGGTTTGTTTGCACGAAAATCCCTGAAAGCCAAGATATATAGTTATATAGTGTTTCTTAACAAGCTGCCTGCTCGGAACAAGGCGAACTACTGACGAGCCAGCAGGTTATAAGCCCATTTCTACCTGTAGCTGCTCCACTGTGCAGGTGAAGTTGATGTCTTCCGAGGATCCTTCATTCTAACAGAGGAACAAATACGAGCATAGATAAATGCCAGATATCCAGGAAACTGAAGGGGGCGGGACACATGCAGCAGTCTCTTACCTTAGTGTTTAATGAAATCAAGTAGAAAGGCTCGTTAACCTTATCGACCTGTTCGTTCTGTCAGGGAAACAACGTTTTTAGTCTGACGCACGAAACCGTGAAAGACATCATGTGCTCCAAAACCTGTCTTACGTACCTTCAGCTGGTGATTTAGACGCCATGAGACGTCGTGGATCTGTGGTGGACGCTTTCCTATGCTACAACAAAACCACAGAAAAGACATCGCTCTGCAATCTTGGTTATGAATCACACACAATACATTGACTTCGTGGGATTTTTGTGTGTACTGATACTTCTTTGGGGATGTGATGAAGGTCTCTGTTAATTTGCCTGCAGGGTCTGTGGCTGTTTATGAAGCAGCATTTACACTGGATCTACTCTTGTCCTTTTTGTCCTGAAGCACATCCTCACACAAACCCTTTGTTTCTCTTTGGGCTGAGACAAAAACCTGCTTACTCGTCGCCCCCATCTCGGTCAAACCAGTTCTTTAGGACTGTGTATTTATTGATTGATCTATTTGTTGATGTTATTAACAGAGATACAGAGTGGAGGAAAAACGCTGACCTCCGTCCAGTTTGTAGGCTAATCACAACGTACAAATAATTCTGCACTCTCTAAAAATCTGATGTCCCGGTGCCACCTTGACGACATGACCGGATTTTCATCTTAAAAGCATCATTGTCACCGCAACAAATTGCTTTCCCAAAGACTGACCTTGCCAAAAGATGTTTCAGCTCCTTGTTGTGTTTCTGTAAAACAAAACAAGCATCAGTGGGTCATGGAAAGCCAGTCAGTCATAACCACAGGGTCACAGGAAGAGGAAATTTTTATATATGCAACACTGCTTGAAATGTACCTGATATGTGCTGTAGAATGTTTCTATTCTCTCCGGACCGAACGTGAGATCTTCAAGGCAGGAGCTGTAAGAACAAAAGATTTTATTAAGCAGCTGGTTGCACAAACAAAAATTACTTCACCAGCATTTTAAATGTAGGTTAAACCATGCGGCTTTCATTTTCCCCAGATGAAATGCAGGGGGATCAAAATTCAGTCCTTGCTTGAATCCCATGTAGGATAAATGTTGAGATCTACACTGTCCGGATGAACACTGACAGATTTAGATTTTGGACAAATAGCCTACACAGCAACCTAAAGCATGAGGACAAACTAACACAACAGGAGCTGAATACTGATGCTTGTTTGCTTGATGATCACACACATGCACATGGTTGATTGTCTACATCCTGAACACACAACTGTGGTGACGACAAACACCCAAATACAGTCACAAATAAGAAATTGTTAAACACATTCAGTAGCCTACAAGACAGTCTCCTGATTTCAACGCTATCTCGTCCTGAGAATCATCTCATCCATCGCTCTGCAGTAGTTTCACGTATTTTGCTCTTTTATTTCTTGCAGTTTTACAGAAAACAAAACAAGGATTCCTTTGTTTATTTATTATTATTTTTTATTTACTGCTGTAATCGTGGATAGATCCGTGCGCTCTTGGGACATGCAGTCAGTGCCACACTGATGTAAGATGGTTCAGAAACAACAGCATTATTTGGCGCTACGTATTTTCTGTCACATGTTGTGATAGTACACTCTTTACAGGATGCTACTCAACTGGGCTGTGGCCTAAATTTGACATTTCTAATAGGAATCAAGCTACACGCAATGTGCAGCGCGGAGTTTACACTAAAGCTCATTGAATGCGATGCCGCCTACCTTATTGTCGACTGGTCTGCGTTGTGTTTGACCGCCTCTAGTATGAAGGTGGTCAATGCATAGTGGCTCTGTTTGAGCAGGATCTGGTCAATCGGCTTCAATTTGGGCTGATCTGAAACGACAGAAACATGGTGTGAGGACTGTGCCGTCGTGTGAAGGAACCGTGCAGCCTAACATTAATCTCTCCGGACAGAACAGACGCGTTTGACTGGTATAAGTGATGGAAGGTTGCGATCCATACTCGGGTTCTCCAGATTGACGTGTAGAATGGAAATCAATGCTTATTTGCATGTGAATGGGCCCCTCAGCTGCATCAGCCGGGGGTCCTTTGTTTGTTTGTATAGTGAACATTTCACTGTCTAAATAATTCTACCATTAAATAGAGCCGAAATGCTGCACAAGTTGCACAACACATGTTGTGTGAAAACAACCGAAGTAGCCATGACAAATAGGAGCCACTGCATCAAAGTCTGCTGTCATTTTGCATAATTTGGATTTCAGTTTAAATATCTTAGAAATGCCGATCAACATAAACACCAGGCTGCACAGAACACCGCTAAATCCAACATCTGTCCACCTTTCGGACTGTTCGCCCTGAGAGGGAACAGATAGGCTATTCATCATTAGCTTTGACTCATGGGGACTGAAATCGTCTAACACAGTCTTTCTGACTCTATGCAAGTTAAATGACAAAGGCATTCTGAGTGGCCATGTGACTGTGGACTGCTGCTGAATACTAAACGGGCAGCAGGAACGGCTAAGACCGCCTGAGTGCAGCCGACGGGCGGCCGTCTGCTGAAGCACGTCGCTTCATTCAGGATCTTAATATAAACACGGGGAATCCGGTTTCGAGTCATTTGCAGCGCGGAGCAGCCACGAAAAACCCCGCAAACATCGAGGCAGTTCCTCAACACATCTATACTGAGAGAAACCGGAAGCAGCGCCGGAGACAAAGCCACGGGTGCGGGGAGCGGCAGCAGCTCACCGAGGACTCCGGGGTCGGCGTGAGAGGAGAGCACACTCCGGAAAGACACGTCTATCAGCACCTGGAAGCTGCTCTGGTCGAAGAACGACTGGTTGGCTAGGGACTGGAGCCCTCTCTGTACAGACTCAGACAACTCCATTTTGCACGACAACACCATGTGACGGATCAGCTGATGTAGCGTGTGAAGCCGCGGAGGGCTGAGCCGAGGACAACGCAGACTGACTGGCATCATAGGAGGGACACTGCCACTGCTCTACCTGCCATAAACAGATAGCCTGTTAGAGTTAGCCTCAGTGCACAAAGACGCTGGACAAACCCGTGCACTAAGAAAGTCAGTCATTTCCAAAGTGGTTCAGGAGCTGAAACACAGAAATGAGGTTCTGCTGTCACTGTAAGACCTGTAAGCAGTGGTGGAAGAAGTGCCGAGATTGTTTACCTAAGTAAAAGTAGCAATACCACAGTGTATAAATATCGTGAATAAAGGTCTTGCATTCAAAATGTTACTTAAGTAAAAGTACAAACGTATTAGCATCTAAATATATTGAAAGCAGCCTATATTTAAAGTAATGGCACAGTTCACATTACAGGGTCCGTATCATATTAATGGGTTATAATTAGTGATGTATTATTGTGTACATCACATTTGATGTTGCAGCTGGTAAAGGTGGAGCTAGTTTTAACTAGCCTACTTATAATTGGAAGTTCTTTCCTGCATGGGTAGCTTGTGAATTTTCCAGCAGGGATCAATAAAATCTTGTGATTATTCTGTATATTATTTTAGAAATGTTATTCTGAAACTACAAACTAAGGATATGAAATAAATGTTGTGAGTACAAAGTATTTTTTCTATGAAATGTAGGTGAAGTCAAAGCATAAAGTAGAAAACAGAAATGCTCAAAGTGCAGTCTTCCTCTGGCTATAACACAGCTCAGGGAGCTTATCTGCATCTTAAAGTGAAAGAAAACTATTCTGAAGAAAACATTTGTTTCATAGCCACATAGCTCCGTTTACACGCCTGTATATTGCAACATTTATCCACAGTAGCCTATAGGATTATAGCTCGAAATGACATTTGCATACAAATGTTAAGGACATTTATTGTCGTAATGGTTTTAATAAACAATTGAAACCGGGTTAAACATAAAATCCTTATAATTACCCCTATTAAAAATGACATATGAGATGAAAGGCGTTTAGTTTAGATGTGGATGATGCTGCACATTCCTGTTGTGTGAAGACATCTAACCCACACGTAAATTTTTTTTTTTTTTTTTGCTGTAGCCTATGAATTATGATTATTGAAACATGTTTAACTCAGATCTCATGTTGACATTATTTTCACTCACTGCTTTAATATCATGAACAGCAGAAACCAAAAGAAGCCTATTGTGCCTTATTACTTTCTATTGTAACAAAAATAAACAATGATTTTCAGTTATGTGTAAAAGGATGGGCGTTGTCTTCATTCTCTGGGCAGCTACACTGCTACCTACTGAAACCTTACCTACACTTTAACCCAGTCTTCATATTTCCAGCTTGTCTTCATACACTGAAACAAGCCAACCTCCACTGTGTCACATTGATTATATAGGACCTACATTAAGCAGTTAAAATAATGGAGTTTTGAGACAGAAGAGATGTGTAACATCCTAAAATGTTGTACATTCACTGCACTGACTTGAGGAAACTGCAGTTGGTGTTTACAGTGAAACCTCAAAGGTCTGTCTGTTCACTTTGCTGCACCAACTGTGGTGAAACGCCATGAAGTCTGAACTCATTCTACTGATTTTCATTTTCTGCTACTTCCACCTCCACTGTTGTTTTCAATGTGGACAACTTAGAGTCCTGAGACAGTGACAGGGGTTTAAATTTCCACTGTCAGCCTAAAACATGTGCAAGCAGTGTGCAAAGCTACCTCATGACCACTGACTCTACACACAGGAAACTCCCTTTTGCATGAAAAACCATAACTGCATTATTAACTGTAGGACTGTGCTGCATGCAAATGTGCTTCAGTGGTGCAAAGTGCTCTTCACAGCTAGAACGACCAATCCTCCATGTGGCTGAATGAGCCACAATCAGGAAGTTCTTCAACACTTGCTTCTTTTTAGATGATTAATCATTTGTATAGTGTTATTCATTAGTGCGGTTTACATCCCCTGCTGCTCTGTTATAACTATGCTTCAGCATTTTCTGCTAGCAGGAGTTAAGGGGTTAAACTCCTTGGGAGGGAAACTATTGTTTTCAAATGGTGTCTGTCGTTGCACCGTGGAAAACATTTATAACTTATTAATTTTAGGCTGCATCAGTTTCCCTGTATGAAAAGTCATCATCAGTCTGCCGCCATTGTCTAGAATCGAGGAGGACTGCGATCTATTGTGCGGCCACACACGCTGCAGCTATCGCCGTGACCTCTGACTCGGCTCTTTGTCCAAAGTCCGTTGTGGCTCCGGGACGGGTTGTTAAATAGATTAGCCTCCAAGACATGTGTCTTATTGCGGCGTGCATCGGACCATTGACCCAGAGTTTAATTTCCACTTTTTTTGTCTCTTACCTCATATTAGCCTATAGCATGTTTTCCTCCCTGCCTACACATGCGTCATAAGCCTGTTGGCAAAAATGATTTACAAGAGATGTCTCCACACTAAAGGTTTATCCAAAGGGCACCGCACACACGTCGCTGCTCGTCCTGTGGTGCGCGTCATGTGAATCCTGTGAATCCCGTAACGCACACAGGGAGCGGTGCGAATTCAGTGCGCGACTACCGAAATGTGAGTACCTCCAAATGTTATGCAATTGAAGCGCATTGACGCCGGAAAATAGGAAAGTCGTGAATCCTGGGGTGTTGACGCGCGTCAACCCCAGATGACACGTCAGTTCGCCACCGGTGTGTGGCCTGTCACTGAAAATAATGGGTGCGTGTTTTGACGCGCGTCATACACCAACTGTGTGTGGTGCCCTTAAGTCCTTCAAAATAAAAGTTTTCCTCGGTAAAGGGCCATAAAGTCCTTACACCGTAGAGCAGTGCGCACTAGTTCAACACGTTTTCTGTTGAAAATCAGGCAGCTGATCCTAATCGGTGTCATTATTTAAGCATTCACTTCTTTTCACTAAACCTTCACCGTTTAAACCTTAAGACCAAAACACAAAAAATGTTATATGACCCTCTGACACTGACAAGTCAAATGAAAAATCACAGACATCTGCTGTAGGCCACTGACGAATGCTGTTGGAATAAAGTTCTGCTGTGCCTGCATCTTTACTAAAATATGTCCATTTAATTTTCTTTTCCGTGTTTCAGGTTATTAAACCTTCGCTGGCTAATACAGTCGAATAATCACTTTGTTCAAAATATCAATTCACATCCAGTGACTGTATTTACAAAGTAACAAAGTCAAACTGGAAACATCCCCTTTAAGAAGACACTGCTGTAATACGACCTTGCAAATTTTGGGCATTGTCAGAAAGAGGAAATATATTATTAAAAACAACTTGTAAGACAGAGAGGCAGCCCACTGATGATCTTGTTAAACGGGCTGTACAGCAATTTAGTGCAATAAGATCAGGAAGCAACTTTGTTAATCCCAAAGGGAGCATTCACATGTGAGACAAGCTTCATCGCTATGCTTTTATTGTAAACAAATAATTCATAGGTAGGCTACATATTTAAAATAGTGGAGGCTACCTCTGAACAGAGCTTAGTTTCTGGTTTGATAGTTTGTTTTTCTTCTTTCGCGGTAAAATCCCAGAGTTTTAGCCGGAACCTCAGTTGTTTCAGTGTGCAGACGGGTGGATGTATAAAAGGCCAAAAGGCTCATGATGCCCTCATTCTGTGTCATTTTCTTTAACATACCCCAAAACTTAATAAAGCAATTAATCATCATTGTGTGACTGCATTGTTGTTCTGTAACACCACCCTCTGACAGGTCTGCATGTAAACACAGGAGCTGACTCCTCTCTTTCCAGGGGTGACCCACCTTAACCTGTTTTATGCCAAGAACGCTGCACAGCACCATCAGAGAGCTGAGTTTCTGTGAGATGAAGCTGCCTGTGCCAGTCTCACACTGACAAAAGGTGGCTACCTACAAAGCAGGTTAAATGGTGTTCTATAGTTCACGTCTGACGACTGAGGACGCATGCGCATTTGTAGAAGATCAGCCTATGTTACAGTTCAATAATTCTCAGTACAGTCAAATGAATAAGGCAGTAATGCAAAAACAATTGTTCTGTTCTTAGTATTTCTAAGGCTGTTTAATCATATTTGTGCTATTCGCCTTCAGTGTTCAATAAAAATACAAAACATATTGTTTCAATGCCGATTTTGTGACGTGGAAATTGTGAATTCCTCAGACCCTCACATCCAAATAGAACTTCCTTCTCCCATTTCTCCTGAACAGGCTTTTTACAAATGCAAATAAAATGCAAGTGATTTGTAAACATGTGCTATAATGGTTACCTAAACATGCATCAATCATGTTTTACTTGTTATGAGCAGATATTGTGCGGAAAAATGTATAAAAACAAACAACCTCACTTTTTAAAATTCGTTTGATGTGACCCTGTGTGCTAAATGTGCTATCAGGAAGCACACATCGTCTGTTCATTAAGAAAGCATGTTATTTATATGTGGAGAAAGATCTCAGTGATCAACATGCTGAGCGCCGGAGTGACTCAAATGTGCTGAAAGATCCGGGTTGAAGCGTTCAGCTTGTGTCTGCACCGCCTGGAAATTCAACAAATGTCTTAATCTTTGACAGTGTGGTTCCTCCTTTTTACATAGATCGGAAGCTAAGTGCATTTTAGGACGTTTGTCTGGACTTTGACAGTTTTCCTGAATGAGGGCTTTAAACCTGGTTTCTATTTTCTACAGATTGTGATGTAACTCCCAAAGCTGTTCACTGGCTGGCGGTGGAGCAAGAGAGACACGCCTGAGTCTAAAAACATTAAAATAATAATATTAATGTGGGAACATGTTTGACACTTGCCATGGATTGACCCATCAGTCTTTATTTGAAACGTGCGACGATCATAGTACATTGTTTATAACTTCCAAACGTGCATTTTGGATTACAACTTAACCAAAGATGAAGGAGCACGAATATTCCAAGCAACCAGCTTCGGGATCAGGACCTCGATGTAACAATGAAACCTCTAGGATTTCACTGTAAATCATCTGCTGATGTGTTTTAAAACGTGAAACTATAGGTCCAAAGATAAGTCCTTAATTTTCGGAAGTTAATAAACTGGTTTTCCCACCCTGTCAAATATCAAGCATGTTTAACCACGTTAGTTTATTTTAAATGTGGAGGTCCTCTTCCACTTCCACACTGATGTGCTAATATAGATCAGAAATCCTGGAATTAATCTACACTTCCGATCTGGTTCAAGTTTACTTTTTAAACAAGCACACC